TATATATATATATTTTTTTTATTTTTTTTTTATTTATTTATTCTGTATGTACAACTACTACATAGAGGAAAACAGCTTGTGACTGCTTGAGATATTTGAAACCTATGGTCTGTATTATGTTTAATTTTATGTACATTTTTGATGCTTGTAATGTTTCTAGTGGATCAATATAAAAAAATCTATATTTATAATAAAATCCTTAAATCTGCAGTCTTTTTTCTACAATTTAGCTTTTCCTGTCATGTAGTAGCTTAAGTGGTGTGGATTGAAGATCAGCGATCATCCTGCATTGATCTGAAATACTAAGTTGATTTAATTCCTCACATCTGTTTGGGAGGTTCTGGCAGACGGATCCCTGACAGTGTCTCTGCTTGATGTATCAGAGATCAAACGCTTCCGGGCAGGTTCACTGCAGGTTTTCCCACTGTGTGGGAATCCCATCACAGCTTCATACCAGCGTTACAGTAGAGAGGATGTTGAGTCTACATGCTGTACTTTAGTTCAGCATGTTCCTTGATTTTGTTCATACACCCTAGCCTCTGAGTATCAGACACTTACAGCCCTTGGGCTTTTTTTCTTCTATACTAAGTGCATCTCTTTCTGTATGGCGTTGATCGTGCATAGACGCCTGCGCTGTTGTGCTCAAAATCTGTAAAATGCAGACTTAGCTAATCCCTGCTCTCTGCTCTTCTTTGAGTAGATCGTTCTCAAAGTCATGAGTTGAGACACATCTGCAAGCTGGAGATATGAAGTTGTTATATTGTGTTATTTTAAGGGATTGGTACTCTGGATGGCAGTGCCGAGAAGGAGAAGGATTTCCTGGGAAAATCGCAGAAGCAGGTACAATTTAACCCCGGCCAGACCACAGCCACATGGAGAGTGAGGCTTCTCTCTGATGGGAAATACGAGCAGTCCGAGACGTTCCAGATTATTCTGACTGAGCCGGTGATGGCTGTTTTGGAGTCACCAGCATTAGCCACAGTTGAGATTGTGGATCCAGGTGATGGTAAGTCCAACAGAAATTGACCAAACAATTTTTAATAAACATGCAACAATGCACAACTTCTTAAGGCATTTACACTTATCAGGTTTGGCTTGATTACAACAAACTGTGGTGAGATTGCTCTGTTATGGCGCTTTTCCACTGTGTGGTACGACTCGGCTCGGCACGGCTCAGTACGGCATGGCACGGTTCGGCTCGGCACGGTTTGCGTTTCCACTGCAGTTCAGTACCGCTTTAGAGTGGGCGGGATTATTCACATGTGGTTATAGTTGCGCCGCCTCTACTACCACGACTCCTAAAAAAACTTTTTCATTCCGCGTCGCCCCATCAAGCTCTCGCTGGATCCGCTCCTCTGCTATCAAGGAGAGGAACGTCTGTTCTTCCGCAACAGACAACAAAACTTTTTGGTTGTTAAAAAAAGGTGCGTTCGATCCTTCGCTGGCTGTGCTGATTTAAATCTAGCGGTTCTGTTGTGTTTGTGTCGCAAGTTCAGTGACGCAGGTAGTGACGATTCTCTCCGGCCAATCCGTGATCAGCAGAGTTTACACGTCACGTTTTGGTAACGGTACGGTTCACTTGGAACCCCAACCGAGGTGGTACTAAAAAAAGTACCAGGTACCAGGTACTGTACCCAGTGGAAAACCCCCCAAAAGTGAACCGTACCGTGCCGTACCATGCAGTGGAAAAGCGCCATTAGTGCGGTTCACTTGAATAAGTGTGAAAGCTGCCATCTGAACCTTGGTGTGCACCAAATAAGCGGACCGAGACCCACCCTTTTCAGGGGGTCTCGGTCCACTTCCAAATGAACTCTGGTGCTGTTTGACTGATATATATGAATGCAACATGGACCAAAGACATCTAAATTAACCAAAAACAGGATGTGATGTCACAAGGTACGTCCCTAAAAAGGCCAGAATGCTGAAGCGTACATGGTTCTTCTCATCATAGCAGCTTTGTTGCACGTTACAGTTCAGTACAGTTTTATACACTCTTTGTAAATTATAAGGTGGTAAAAAAATACCACCATATGTAGTCAAGTCACCTTTATTTATATAGCGCTTCATACAAAACAGATTGTTTCAAAGCAGCTTTGCAGTGGAAAATGGTGATTCAATGATGCAAACACAATTTAACTCTGCTGTAAAGCAGCTCTAAAAAACAAGAGTAAACAGTCATTATTCAGTTGAAGTCAATTCACTGTTAATTCAGTTTGGTTCAATACCTGTTTAATGTCCACCAATTATGGAATGAGTTTAATTAATCTATAAACCAGCTCTAGAGAAAACAGTAATGTCATCGTCCAACTCCGTTCAGTCTGTGCAATCAAGTCAATAATATTGCCGAATATCAAGTGTAAGCGAGTTAAAAGGTGACAGTGGCAAGGAACCCAAACTCCATCTGTGACAGAAATGGAGAAAAAAAAAACATTTTTAATTGTTTGGTAAAGTTTGAAAAATATACGTAATAATAGCTGTCCAATTAGGTTGTGACCGTATGCTTATGTCTTTTGTTTTGTATCTTTATGTACAATGTTTAAAAATGACAGTGTAACCACTAAGTGAACCAGGACTAAATGTATCATTTTTCTTTTTGATCCGGACTAAAAGAACCAAGAGAATCAAACTACTAGTGAAAAGATTTAGTTTACATTTTCATACCCACCAGAACTATAAAATTCAATACTTTATTACAGTTGAAGTATGTCATTTCTGCACCACTGGGCATCACTAAATGGAATTGGGAGATTAAAACGGGGATTAGAAACAAAATGTTTTTCATTTTGGTTCATTCTGAACAAAAACTGTGTTTTTTTTAATGTTCTGGTTACAAAACTCTGTGGCCTCCTTTCCAAATGGTAATCAGAGAACATTAACTGAATTTTTATTTTATTTTTATTCCAAGAAAGCGTTGAAATGAAGTAACAGCCATAAAAAATGACGACTTTCAAACTCATTAGAAAAAATCATATCAACCCCAAACTTTCGAACAGCGGTGTTCATATATTTTATCTAATGCACATTGGCTTTTTAAACACATACTCCTGTTCAGATTATATGAGATCAGAGTCCTTTTTCAGGCCCATTAAATTCTTAAAAAATATCCAAACATCACCGCTTCAGCCGCTCAATATACTAAACCCTTATTACATCTAGTGAAGATGTGAGTAAGTCAGAGGCAGGCAGGATGTTCAAGAGACCAGAAACACAACAAAGCTGCTAAAAACATCCCAGGCTATTTTATTTCCTAAAATTTTCAGTGTTGCAGATAAAAACACAGGCCTTATCTCTATACTGCAGATGCCTTTTCTCTCTTTCAGTGGACCTCAATTATCGTAGCATTTGATATCTCTTCCTACCTGTGAGCTTCCAGCGCACCACCCACCCCCGCATCTCGGCGGCCCTTCTTTTCATCTCGAATTCTGCGCACAGCTACACGTCTTGTTTTGAAAACGTCTCGTCGATAAATGTAAATTGTCGACCAGCATTTGAGAAAGGTTTGACACGTCTGCACGGGCTCCCTCTGTAATTAAATCGTTTGCATATGAAAGTTAGTTGCACAGGTTTTGAAGAGTCATTTTGGAGGGGGCGCCACACTTTTATGTGCGAGGACCCAAACAGAGAGGCATCAGAAAGCCGTAATGAGACACCCGTGCATAAACCTGTCACCAAAAACCTTTCCGAGCAGCTCTCATTACAAAATACAGCTTTGTCAGTCTGTTGATCAAACCACGTTCATCTCACACTGTTTTGGGTTTTCTCGCCGAGAGCCGTGACGGAATTATTTGTCTGTTCATCATCACAACATCATCTCATATTCTCACAATTACCGACGTATTTAGATGCGCAGTGTGAATAACCGGAGGCTTACGTTGTTTTATTCTGTGTGCTTTTGTCTTTATCGTCTCCTCGGGGTCCCTGGATAATTAAAATTTTCATTTACGCTATAATCCCAAACGCTGCGATAGTTTCCATCTGAATGTTACTTAAGCCTCGCTATCTTTGCAGAAGTTATTTCTCCTTAGAAAAAAAAGAAAGAAAACTCCACTGCTTCCCCAGTGAGCTAATTATCAGTCTTATGGTGGGGTTTGTTTGCTGAGGCTGATGCCCCATGGGAGGCTTAATGTGACGGAGTCTGGCTGCTCTTTCTAATGGCGAGAGGGAGGGGAGATGGGCCGGTTGGCATGCTGCGGTCCTGTTGCTCCATGTGTAGTTTTTTTCCTTTCAGGTTAATTATCCTTTTAGCGTTCATGTGTGTGTGGCAGTATGAGGTCGCCCTCCTTGCACATTAATATTTGAATGAGAGAGGGAGGTGGATTTCTTCCGACAGGGGCCTTTGGAGACCTGTCTGACCCAGTTGCCACAGAGCCGTTCACACATGATGGCTTACACCGACCTGCGGGCTCAGACAAAAGCTTGCATCTGGAGTCACATCTGTGACTGGGACGGCTGTGATATGACAAGCTTCCTGCTTTACAGCCAGAACCTTTCACTGCTCATTAGTGTAAGGAGCAATAAAGGAAGAGAAGAGGCTGGAAAGGCGTTTTAAAGATGCTTACTTCAACTTTGCTTTCTGGTTTTAATGTCTAATTTTGGAAATTTTCTATGGTTTAAATGGCTGTACCTTTCCCTGATTGAACACTGAAATACTTCATTTTAAAAATCATGTGAATTGAAAAGGTCAAGAAATCTACACTGCAAAGATACTTTCTAACTTTAAAAAAAGAGAAGCTTGAAAAGCAAAACTGTGTAGGACATTTAGATTTGTTTTCAAGTAATATATATTGAATTAAGTATATTTTAAGTATATTAATCCTGAATGAATAAACAATTCATTTTTCTTGTTTTACGCATAAACCACACTTAAATAACACTAAATTTAAAGTAGATTTATGCTTAAAACAAGAATAAATTAATTGCTGATGGATGGATGGTTTTAGATGAATGAATGGATGGATGGATATAAATGGATGCATGGATGTAGATGGATGGATACAGATTGTTGGATATAGATGGATGGATATAGATATTTGGATATGGATGGATATGGATGGATGGATATGGATGGATGGATATAGATGGATGGATGATATGGATGGGTGGATTGATATGGATGAATGATATAGACGGATGGATATAGATGGATGGATGATATGGACCGATATAGACGGATGGATAGATGGATGGATGATATAGATTTGGATCTTGTGCAGTTTTGCTTCTCAAGTAGTTAAGTATCTTGTTTAAGGGCATTTATTATTATTTTTATTGGAAAACAACACATTAATGCTAACTAAGAAAAAAAATTTTTGAATTTTTTTATTTTTTATTTTATTGATTGATTGAAGCATTTTAAGGCAGTGTATTTATTAAACAACAGCTGTTTACTTAATGCTTAATTTACTTATATATTCATTCAAAGTGAGTATAGAAAAGTACTATCTAAATAATCTGTTCTGATTGACACGTATATAATTAAATTCTGTCTATACCGTGCTATGCTGTAAATCAAAAGTAATTCAACCGCCTATCTGCAGAGGACTCTACCAAGAACTGAATATAAATGTGCAGGATTTTACTTTCTCATCAGCCTTGTTTTTGATCGTTACAAAACAAGGTCATTATTTTGGCCCCTCATGCATGAGACTTTCCTGTGTGAGGGTAAGAGATGGTCTAAATACGTAAGCCTTATACCTGAGGCTACATAGATTCGCCTCATTGTTATTCTTTTCTCACGGCCAGCTAGGCCTGTCGCGATAATTAAATAACCGTCTAACCGCGATTATTTGATCTAAATTTGATATTCAGATCTATTTGATCTGAAACAACCGCGATTATTGTGCTTTTTATACGAGACAAGGGGGAGTCATACACCAAAAGAAACAGAAGAGCACCAGTTTGCTTTTCATGCACTGTATAGCCTATACAGGGCTCCAGACTCATTCTTCCCACTGGTCCCTCTTTTGCAACTAACTTTCTCAGCTGGTCGCACGAGCACATGATTTGGT